GGATCCAAGTGTGATCCGAAAGTTGTTGCAACACAGCTCCAATGGCCGTGTTAGAGGCGTCAACCGCAATGCTGAGAGGTAGGTTTACGTCTTGATGCACCAGCATCGTGGCGTCTGCTATTGCGGTTTTGATCTTGCGAAATGCTTCTAGTGCCTCAGGAGTCAAGCTGAAAGTTTTACATTTACTTTTCAGCAGGTCGGTCAGTGCAGTCAAAATGTGTGCACATTGGGGAACGAAGCGACGATAATAGCTCACCATACCCAAAAACACACGCAGAGCTTTAAGTGACGCTGGGACTGGGAAGTCTTGGATCGCCTGTACCTTTTCAGGTAGTGGGCGAATGCCTTGCTCGTCGATAACGTGTCCCAAAAATTTTAGTGAACGAACGCCAATTGGCATTTGGCCAGGTTGACTGTCATCGAATGCTCTGACAGTCTGGCGAAAACCTGTTTCAAGTGGTTAAAATGGGTGTCTTCGTCAGGACTAGCGATTAGTATATCGTCTAGGTAGGCATAGGCGAAATCGAGTCCACGTAAAACATCGTGAATAAAACGTTGGAAGGTTTGTGCTGCATTGCGAAGACCAAAAGGCATACGGAGGAACTCAAAAAGACCAAACGGTGTAATGACGGCTGTCTTGGGAACATCATCAGGATGAACCGGGATCTGATGATATGCACGCGTCAAGTCAAGCTTACTGAAGATAACCGAGCCTTTTAAAGATGCAGTCAAGTCGTGAATGTGAGGGACTGGGTAACGATCTGGAATCGTTTTAGCGTTGAGCCTTCGGTAGTCACCACAAGGCCTCCAGTCCATGCCATTGTTCTTGGGTACCACATGCAAGGGTGAAGACCATGGACTGTTGGATGGTCTGATTATTCCCATTTCAAGCATGTGTTCGAACTCGGCTTTTACAGCACGCAGTTTCTCCGGGGATAATCGCCTTGGTTTCGCAAACACTGGCGGGCCAGTCGTCGTTATGTGATGAGAAACGTTCGAAGTCACACAAGGGACACAACGACTTGGCTTAAAGACATCCGGAAAGGACTGAATGATAGACGCGTAGGGACTAGAAGCGTCCGTCGTGCAGTACACGGGACTGAGGGGCGGCGTCTTTGTGACTATACCGGAAACAGAGAGTGTTGTGGTAGAATCTATCAACTTATGCTTGCCAGCATCTACCAGCAGCTGATAGTGCTGCAAGAGATCCATACCAATAATGCCGGTGGTCACATCTGCCACTATGAAAACCCAACGAAAGGGACGACGCAATCCAAGGTTGAGATCGAGGAATCTCCGACCATAGGTTGTGATGGGCGAACCGTTGGCGGCACGAAGTTGCAGAGACATTGGCCGCAGACGCTCTTCCTTCGTAGGTGGGATGACGCTAGCTTCTGCCCCAGTGTCAACTAGGAAGCGTATCCCAGAATGTCGATCAGTGACGAAGAAGAGGCGACATGGAAGTGGCTCGCCAGCGACGTTAGTCGCCGTCACGTGCTGGCTCACACGTTTCCCGCCTGGTTAGCCTCGAAGGTGCAAGGTCGAGTGCACTTTTTGGCATTGGCACCATAACGTTTATGGTACCAGCACAACCTGGGTTGGGATTGTCGCGATTTGGAACGTCTGCTATCGGTACGGGAGGCAGACCTGTTGCGCGAGCGAGACGTGCGACCTTTGTAAGAACTACCAGACCGCATTTCGTTCCTGATGCTGCACAACTCTTCATACAATTTTGAGATGTGAGCTATAACATCGAAACTTGTTGGCTCAACAGCCGAGGGAGGGTTTTTGAACGAATCCGTGGCAGTAGACAGTGCAGCTGAGATACTAGTGTTGGGTTTCGTAGCATCCACAGCTCTGTCAGCCGCTTCCGCCAACTCTATTAAGGGACACTTATGGAAGGGTGCGAGGATCCCTTGAACCGACTGTGGTAACCTCTGTAACCACAGTTGCTTGAGAAATGCTTCATCAATGTTGAAGTCAGCAATCAGCTGCTTCATCTGACGAAGCAGTTGCGTCGGCTTGCGATCACCCAGATGCACATCCCTGAAAAGTTCTTGCACTTTCTGCTGGTCAGTAAGTGCAACACGTTTGATGAGGGCGGTTTTGAGGCGATCGTAAAGATTCGGTGCTGGGTCATCTAGCACATCTGAGACGTCTTCAATCACATTTTCCGGTAAGCTGACGATGACTAAGTTGGACTTAGTTTCTTGTGATTGAATGTGTCTCAAGGCAAACTGAGCTTCCACATGGGAGAACCATGCAGATGGTCTGTGGGCCCAGAAGGTGGGAAGCTGGAGGGTTACGGCCATCTGCGCAGTCGAGTCGTTATCCGCCATTGATCAGGGAATTAACGAGGCACGATAGTGATAATAAAAAAATTACAATGCAAAAATAACCAATGAGGAGTGCAATAATATAAAAAAACGCTAGACGTGCCAAAAACAAAATTAGGCCAGACAAATCAACGCAAGAGAACAAAGGTACTAGACAAAATAAGAAGTGATACTCGGGCTCACCAATTTTTGTAGGGATGCGTGTTACAATTCCGTAACGTTTGATCAACCCTACTTAATTTGATGTGCTCTAGTACCTGCTTAACCAGTACTTTACCTAACGTGTAAGTACTGGTAACAAAACACAAATCAAAAGAACTGATACGCAATGTATTTAAAGGAGCTATGTATTTAAGGTAAATGTTATAATAATGAATGAGGGAAAAGTTTAATCAACTTATCTGGCTTGTAAGGCTGAACTAGGGACTCGGAGTACGTGCGTGGTGATCAGCACAATGGAGCGCAAAAATGGCGTCCAAGCCTGCTCGGATGCATGCTCGTTAAAACAAAACTTAAAACACCCTAAGCATCCGGAGGCAAGCTAGAGATTTATTTAGTTAATTTAATTTAAACTATTTATTTTAGCCCTAGTTATATTTTGGTGCCAGGAAGGTGCACTACATATGTATTGTACTTCGAAAATCTTCTTGTATTCTTGCGGGAAAAACCAGTGTTTATTCTAATTATAAAACAAGCCATCCAGCCCAGCTGTATTTAACGCCTTTGCATTGTACTGTGTAGCCTATGCTTTGATTATAAATAGACGAAAATTCGTGGTTTACTAGACTAAATCCATCACTTTTAATAAGCTCAATGATCGGATACTTGACGTTTGTTACCATTGTTGCTACATATCACTTTGTTGACTTCCGCTGATTCACCGTGACAAAGTTATTGCAAGGTGTCGTTGACATTGCTTGATGATAGACAGTTTTAATTTACCCAAGATATAACTTGACCTTGAAGAATGTGTGGTAGAATTACTAGTTCGCAAGACAAATTGGGTTTGAAAACTTATACCTGTGATGTAGTGTTTCTCTGGACCATTGATATGCCAGTGATAGATGCATCCTGCCCTTCACCACAATCTTATTTAACCAAGTTTTAGGGATTTACCCATAGGATTATAAACAGTCGACGAGAAGTTACAACAATCAGTATATAACTTAATCATGGTTAACTTGTCATGCCCTACGATAACTGCTGCACATGAATATGCTTACAGGTTGTGTATAAACTTAAGTATACTACAAACAGAATTCCAGCTTAAAGTTTTCTCGAGATCACCAGTATGTAGGCAGAGGAAATGACAGGGAACCTTAGAGCCTCCAGGCAATACAGAAAACAGCCTATTTTATGAATTCAATCGAATCTGTTCAGTGTCTTTGGCTCCATATGTTTATAACTGTATCCAATTTCTTATCAAATTTTCATGACAGCGAAACAAACAGATGGTCAGTACTGACTAACTAATTTGCATCAGTGTCTGGCAGAAGTAAATAAAGTAGAAACGAATTGCCAAAGTGTTCCTGCTAAGTATAAATGCACTGAAACAAGAAGGAAGTATTAGCAGTATCTTTTACTACCAAATTCCAAGTACTTCCATATGGACGCATGCGATGACTCAATGGAGCCAAGGTAACACAATCCAGACAAGTTACTGTGTTCTTCCGCATAGTTTACCAAGCTTTCTTGATTCACACACGGTCAAAGATTATGGTTCAACAATATTAAAACACGATTTGATGTGATTAAGTCTGAGGTACTATCAAAAAATAACAAGTCATATAAAAATTAAAAAAAGCAGATGGACAAATGACAAAATGATGTTACATAGGTCCGTTGTCAAAGAGGGTAGAACTGTTCAGGTAAATAACGGCACTATGAAACAGAGTACTCATGAGGGATTTTCAAGTCATTTATTCCATTACAGCACCTTAGTAGTGGCATGTGCCAACCAATGATAGTCTGCTGATCGAAACCAGCATTCATAAGGACAGCATACTTTTCGTATGCACCAGTGTGGAACGTTTTCTGAATTACACCAAGACACTGTGTGCACATGCACCAACGTATTATCTACGAAGCTTCAAAATGAACCACAAATAATTTCATTTTGTGTGTAGCGCAGTGGAATTATATGAGCGGCATACGTCTACGTCACTTGATCTACTTCATGACGTAGTTGTGGAATGTGTTAACTATCTTTCATGTCATCACCCGAAACAAGTATAAGGATAAACAGGTGTTTTGCGTGGGGGATGATCGCTGAATGGTTCAAAATAAGAAGCCAAAGAGTTGGTCTGTTAAAGTAGGTTTATAGTGTGCATTGGCAGTTTTCATTTAACCTTACACCTTAACCTTACACCACTGCCTCAACTGGCCAACGTTGGCTGCAGTTAAATGGTATTCCCGATATTGTAAACTTAAGGGTGTTAATGTTTGTCAAAGGTTGAATTTACCCATCTTTAGTTTTTCATCTCACCTCTTTCCCCTGATATGAGTTTATAGTGTTAATTATTAGAGAGAGAGAGAGATTTAGTCTTAAACCCATAGGCTCTTTGATTGACACGTGTGTTGAGTAAGTTTAGCTTACTACTGACCTGAAAACTTGTCACTGTCTTATCGGCTCTATACAAATTGTCTTTTCGTTACGTTGAACAAATGATGGCGTCTACTTCTGCCTATCATGAAGAAACAGACGTATGTGAATTTCTTTCCGAGAAATTCTCAACCAGAGCAAACAAGCGACTTCTCAACAATAAACCAAACGCTGGAGTTACGCGTAAAACCCAAGACACAGGAGTTATCTGAAATACAGTTCTGTATTAATAAGCGATAAAATACATAAAATACATCAAATACATTCCTCGAATAGTGAGGTATCTGAGGGTATATCGCTATCAAGGTACTTGCAAAGAGTGCGTGTATAGTAAAAACACCAACGGTGTGTCTAAGTGACCAGAAGGGAATATAAAAGACAAGCGTAAGTCCTCACGACGAGGTAAGGACGCAAGATGAACAAATGTTCAGGGTAAAATAGAACATCAGGTAACAATGAAAGAAATTACATCATCATGAAGTGTGACAGATACTAATATCTACGACTGTCAAGTGGTGTACAAGGTACGACTCAACAGAATCAACAGTCAAGAGTGTGGACGAAGCAACATTATAAAAGAACATGACTATACTACTCAAAAATACTAAGTAGCATAAAATTGAAGGTATTAAAAGGGGATACAAAGGGAACAGCCGATAGGATGAAGGCGAACAGGTGAGAAAGGAGTTAACAACGTATACTTTATACTATCTCATGAATGCATGTAGGATGGGTTCTTATTTGCGCGACTGAAGCTAATCGTAAGAGTGCATAAAAACCGTAGATGATATAGCCTCGGGAAGTATAGTTACTTTTGATAGCTAATCGGTGAAGATTCCGAAGAACGGAATAAATCTATTTGAGTAGGGAAAGCAAAAGTAAAAAGGATTCATATCAACCCTGTTTGCTAATTGTGACGATATCGGAATGACTAATAAGTCTGCTACTATTAGCCGTTATGTTTCAATGGACGACGTGTTATGAGTGAATAATATTATTTAACTTTGTAAGGAATCCAACAAATGTTTTAGTGTGTTTGTATGAACTCTTACGATTGCTTGAGACACGTGTTACAGTTATGAGTACCGTTTATTTCGTGGGTCCGTGAATATCAGATTCTAATAAGTGTTATTTACGGAAATTTTGATTTCAAAAACCATACCCAAAATTTTAGCTTTATGAGTTTACTAGTTGTATATCGTATGGTCTTCATACATCGTCTGTTTGTGAGTTTTCATTTCCTTTGAGAATAGACAGGCATCCTTTCCCTCACACATTTCCCCCTCGTTACAGTAATAATTTCCCACAGACGAAGTTTCATAAAAAGTCTTAGAATTCAAGAGGATGATTTGCACCTTCCTGCCTTTTCTGTGCATCTCACTGTATCCATGGGTTTTGTCATGATCAGTTAAGCATTTGAGTGTGCCTTGAGGTTTGAGTTCACAACCGTTTCAAAGTGCACTGGTACACTCGTTCGCTTTATGTACTGGTCTCAAGCAGCTATAGTTGCTAACGAAGAGCGGATATTAACAGTAAACCACGAACGTCCCACGATGTCCTCGATTCGACTTATCAGTAGTGAGAACACATTGAAACACGTGGGAACGTTTGTTCACACCGAAGCAATCATCAAAAGACCTGCACAATCCAGCATTTGAAAATAATAATATCAGTTGACCGATTGTATGTTACTCCAAGTGTAGTCATAATTGACACAAAAACATTTTGATTTATTTTAATTGGCTTTCCTACTTACTAATGACTTTGCAGGCACCATTAAAGAGATACCAGTTTTCGAAACTGAACTAACTTGTTTAGTTTACAACCTTCTTTGTCTTTCCACATTTTCTAATGAGAGTTTTACCATCTTGCCGTACAAATGCACATTCCTTGGGCCGAGGGTAATCCCCTAAATGCGATATCCTAAGGTGCGACGACATTCAGCATTCATTTTGACCTCCATGACTTTATTGAACTTGTTTAAATGAAGATAAAAATCAAAATCGAAACCATACCATTTAGCCTGTTTCCCGTCCCGTTGCATTTATCATTCACAATCCTTTAGCAAACCGGTGCATACATCTCGATATACCAGCACTATTTGTCAACATGCTACCCTGTAAACATTATTACTGCACCCATGAATGAACCCTGTGATGAGTGGTTATTTGACCCGAGGGGGGCAAACCAATCGGGTTTTATCTCTAACTGACACCTCACTGTACATTATCAGTATAGATTTGCTAAGTCATTACTATTTACTAGCAGATGATCATCGACGACTGGTAGATAACAGCAAAAAGCTATCATTTGATGAAACCGTTCCGGTAGGCCTGAGTTCAGCCTCAGTTAGAAGGCAACATTCAGTCGCTTCTTATTAAACAGTGCTGGACAGATGTTTGAAGTTGAGACAGCTAAGATGTACTGTAGCATGAACAGACAGTAATGTTATGCATCAAATCACAATCGTAAGACGACCTGTGGCAACCAGAGCATCCTAACCAACTCCTGATAAGTGAGAAAGCGTGTACACCTGGGTGAGACCACCTTCTGGAACTTGGCATTATCCAAAGTGCGCATGAACATTGCCACTTTATTTGGTCCGAAAAAAAAGCAACAGTTGGCGTCCGGTCGGTGATTATTGATGTCTCCATGTCAATATAGGTTAGCTTCAACTCGGAACCCACTGCATGATGATTGACCATTTAAACCGCTGTACTATCACCCCATTGATAGGTTTCTTAACTATATATAGCTCTCTGTCCAATCCATTTCGAACATTCTGATAACATATTCACTTGTCAGCTTGATTTATGTCAAACCGAAGTGCGGGAAGACGAACATAACACAAAACATAGAATCCCCATTATTATCTGTCCCTTGAGTTCCTAGTGGAACATACAGCTTGAGTAGCACGTCTCCATTGCACTCTCTTCACTGCAGTCTTGTCAACCTGGCTCCATCATTGATCGAAAGCTTTCATTTCTTCCTCACACCATCTCCTCCATGTCACCCTCGACTCAGACGCCCAACTCGTCGTTTCCCCTTTGGATTCCACTCGACGACTTGGCCTGGCGCGTCATGTCCCAAAACCGTCATCTCAGTGTATGTCCAATCCAATCCATCTCCACTTTCTTCTGCATATTTGTTAGGCTATAGGTTCTCGTTGGTTGGTTCGTCACCAGCCAGCCAGCCAGCCACAGTTCCTTGATCCTTATTCTTTCTGGCCGTCTGATATTAGGCATCGAGCGTAGGCAGCTGTTGATGAATATCTGCAGTTTGTTGGAAATGCTTTTCGTGACATGCCAACTCTTTCAACATTCATATAGAAGCACTGACTTAATTGACTGAATTAGTGTTGCAATTGTGGACCCCGCTCACGCTTTATGCTGAGTGCAGTGCAGTAGATATTCACACTGATTTCAGGTTAATGAAAGCTTGTCTTGCTTCCCCGATCCTCGTTGCTTTGACATCCTCATCTGTGCCGCCACCTGTAGTTGAAACGATGCTGCCTACGTAGGTAGGTGAAAGAGACTACTTCCTTTAGAGTTCTCTCGTTGATGGTGATTGGTACTTGTCGTTGATGCCGTTGTTGGTTTAATATCTTCATCACCTCTGTCTCCTCCTTGTTCACTTGAAGTCCTGTCTTCGCTGCCCTGGCTCTCGTCTACTGTCAACTTGTTAGTTTTTACCTGTGGATCTTCGATATTAAAACAGAAATCATCATCGCCGAAATCCAACTCTTCTAGGGACGTTTCATTGGTCAAACAGCGTATGCCCATCTTCTCGCTCCTCACAGTTGTCGGTTGCATGATTCAGTCCAGTCCAGTCCAGTCGACCACAATCAGGAAGATAATCCATGATGATAGTAGGCAACTTTGTCCTACTCCTGTCTTCACTTCAAATGTGTCACTGAGCTTTCCATTGTAAATCATTTGGCATGTAGCATCGTATAGAATGTAGCTGCGGAATGAGTTTGATAAAGGTTTGTGGCACTAAAACAATGATGTTGAAGCAGCTGCCTGGCAAATTACTTCTTGCTTGACGCCATCGAAGGCCTTTTCAAAGTAGATGAAGTTGGGGTAGAGTTGAGTTGACTTCCATTCTATACTCCTTTCTATGATGATGCATAGCATTGCAATTTGATCCGCACATGGTTTGTTCTTCCTGAAACCAGTCGGCCAGCCTGTACCTGTAGTAATTTAGAATCCAGCGGATCGTTTAGTCTCTACAAAGCGATGCACTTAATACTTTGCTTGGTGTGGACACAGACAGAAGCACGACTCCGCACCAGTTCCTGCAAAGACTTAGGTCTCTCTTCCTTAAGACTTTGACCAGGTAGTCCTTTTCCAATCTCCAGGTACCTTTCCTTCCTTCCACACTTTCTGCAGTAGCGGTGTGAGCATGTCCGCTAACGTCTCTGCGTCTGTTTTTAGTACTTTTGGAAGAATTCCATCTGTTCTTGCAGCTTTCGCGCATTTCAGCAACTTTATGGCGTTCAGGACTTCACTTCTGGTTTTGTCGGAAGGCTTGTGCTCACTGATAGTTTTGTGGCTGGGCTGCTGGTGGTATTTCCGGACGAAGTGCTAGTGGTGGTCGAATCAAGAGATTTTTGAAGTGGTCAGCCCATCTTTTCCTTTGTTTCTCCTCTTAGGTGACTAGGTTTCCTTCACTTTCTTTCATTCTCTTCGTCTGCGTCGATCTCTTTGCAGCCAGTAAACCTGGTTATTCGATATAATGTTGTCAGGTCTCTGATTTTCAGTGTATCTGGTGTCCGGTGAAATCAAATCCATGTCGCTTTGTGAATATCCTCGTGCATGAACACACTGCCTAACTCCAATCACCAAATCGTTGAATGCACAGAATTCTGCAAACAGTTCTCCATTCTCATTCATCACCTCACCGAGTGCTTCTCGACCCATGGTTAGTTCTCTTCCTGTGTTGTCCCCTCCCAGTTTGGCATTCATGTCACCCATTAGAATTCTGATATCGCCAACTAGAGTCTTGTCCGTTACTGATTTCAGTCATCTGTAGAATTCCTCCTTCTTCTCTTGATCCGCATTGGTTGTAGGTGCATAGCGTATCATTGAATGATTGTAACTTTCCTTCCTTTTGAGTTGAATCCATCTTGCTGTCATGATCCCGATCCTGGAGGAGGAGATTGGTTCCCACTACATGAGAGCCTTCGATGCTTTTGGGGACATCATGATAGCTACTCCTACACTCAGTGTGCTCGTGGTTGTCGTCTGGGTGACAATATTGGAGTAGATTATTGATTCTGCAGTTGACAGTTGGGAGAGTCCACTCCCATTCCATCTGCTTTTGCAGATTCCTAACACTTCTATGCAATACCAACTCATCACTTTTGCAATCTGGGTAGCCCTACTTGTTTCAGACATTGTGCGAAAATTCCATGTCCCCATGCCTACTTTTGCTTTCATGGAGAGAGGAGAAGACACATCCATCTATTGGCTTCCCAAAGGTAGGCTTTCACCAACCGGCGTCATTTCGTCTCTCCGATTCCAGCCAGGAATAAGTTGGGTTTTCTTTTTTATATTTTCTTTGTGCGTTGAAGTTTTTTCAGCAGTTGGATTGCTTTTCCGTGATAGGGTTGCTAGCCCTATGCCCAACTTGTAAGTTTTCATTGAAAGATACTTTTCAACTTGTTGACTGTCTTAGTAACATGAATACCAAGAACTCATTCGATGTGAATTCTTTATTCACTAACGTGTCATTGTTCAAGGCTATTAACATGCTCTATGACTACATATCTTCTAGGAATCTCATATTTCCTATTACTCCAACTTTTCTGAAAGAACTATTGTTGATGTGTAACACTCTTCAGTTGACTTGACTAGTAAATGTATGATGAGATTGTCAGAAAGATATTGTGCAAATACATTACATCTCGTCAAGATAAACTTCGTCTTCTAAATTACACTATCTAAATTCATACTAAAGGAGGGAGTAATTGTTTCATATTACAGGTGTTGTCAATAATTCTAGCATGTTAGGTTTTGTTAAACTAATTCTTATCTATTGAATTATTTTCACAGGTTTTACGACATGAAGAATTCACTGAAGGTTGTAAAGCATCCTGTAATGGGTAATAATTAGGTTTAATCAAATAATAACCATGCATATCGATTGTATTCCATTTTAATAAGACCATATGATGGGAAATGGAGTAAAACTATGATAGGTTATGGTGGTGAAGACAATCATTTTGTGATTGAATTGACCTACAACTATGGAGTGGGAGGTTATCAACTTGGCAACGACTTCCAAGTGAGCTTTCTCGTCTCTGTTGTTCACTTCATCAGTATATTCGTATTCACAAGAAAGACGCCTACGGTAGAATAACTGACGGGTTATGGCCTATCACATTGAAAGAAGCAGATGCTGTGAAGGTGGAGGCACCTGGTGGATATGCATACTGGGTGCATAACTATGAGAGTGATGGTGATCCTGTTCGAATGGTCGCGTTGGCTAGTTCAAATCTTCAACGGTCTATCGGTATGCTGTTTATCCTTATCTTCTAATACACTGATCTTTGTGAATAGACTATTGGTCTTGTAAACTTGGTATGACAGTTGTCTCGTCGAACGGAGAAGAAGAAGCAGTATTCTCTTATTCATCGAATCAATGTCATTTAAAGTTGATTTCTATCCATGGAAGGGTAGATCATGCCAGTGGGTTTGGTCGTATTGCTTTTGCTTGTCCAAGTGCTCAGGTAAATCTCTATTATCCACCCAGTTATCTGGTATCTTTTATCTATGCGTTAACAGTTACCAATACTACAGAATTGCATGGATGCACATAAGGAGACAATTCTAACACGTTTAGTTAGTTTGGATACACCGGGTAAAGCTACAGTACAAGTGATTATTCTTGCTGATCCTGTAAGTGTGCCTGTTTGTATTCTCTTGTGGTTTAATATGAATACAGATTACTGGTTAGATTGTTGTTTACTGTCTCTTGGATTACGTAATATGCTGATGGAGTCTACTTTATGAATATTAGAATGACTGAATAGCTGTTACTGAGTTGGTTATACCTACTGAAAACGGGAAAACATGCTTCTTAGTCGCAGTGCTTTGCTCATTTACTTATTTTATATTGTCATTTATTATTATTTATTTTCAGTTTATTTAATATATTTAAGTTATTCATAAATCATTTTCATTATTCCACTTAAAACTTATTTGGTAACGTTTTCATTAACATTTCACTTATTATTGTATGACTTTGGTAATTCTGAAAAAATTCCATAATCGTGAGATCAGATAAGGTGTGTATCATCTACTTTTCTGTGCATGAAATTGATTATTACACGTTTATAAATTATGGCGAATTATGAAGAGACCAGTTCATGCTAGTCAATCAGTCAGTCAAAATCATCATGGCACCTGGCATTACTGTATAATGAACAGTCCAAACTGATACACTTCAAATCACTGCATCAAACGAGATTAAACAAAGATGAAAGATAAAGAAATAAGGATGAAAGCAGTTGTTGTGACCAATTGGTGAGGTTGCGCGCGTGAGTATATTGATACTGAGATTCAATAGACACCTCAACCTAATACTTTTACGACTGACCTCCCTCAGTACCTTCTACTCCACTGAGCCGCGGAAAAATTCGAAGACAAAGATGGCGTTTGACTGCAAGAACAGTGACAACTTTTATTAGGCAAATACATAACAGATGTGTATTTACAAAATTCTCAGAAAGTGAAGCTATAAATGAACTAATCAGATTTCTTGTATGACGTCGAATTTCTCCAATCAAGTTCTCATGTCAGCACGTGCATAAATCATGATCGTGACTTAAAAACAACTCCCCTATTGGCTGCCTTCTTGTCGCTACGTATTAGCAGTCAAAGTGGTAGAAATTTATGGAAACATAACTAACATTAATGGCATAGTAATGAAATTCAGTATGACCATTTCAGTTTTACTATGACTTACAAATTTGAGTACATTTGAAGTGAACAAAATTAGATTTGAAAGTACACGATAATGCACTCAAACAATCATTCATCAAGTTTAATATTTGATTGGTTTAACATATAGAAAAAGAATGTAAGTGATAACAAGTTATTGGGAGCATTGAATGGCTGACATGTCAAAACCTAATGGTTAAAAATTATAATAATGCACTCATATATGTTTTTTTAACTTCACTATGTCCAAATTTTATATTTATCCTATGAACATCAGCCTATAAAAGACTATAACTATCCTCACTAGACACTAACCAATTCTATATTGTCTAGCCCTGAATACTGACCGAAATTTATCTATCATTTTACATTGTGCTATAACCTAAGTGAAGGCATCCTACCGACTGTATCCAACCGAATAATATCCATCAAAATGGATCACAATAATGAGTTTCCTAGATTGGTTTCTACATTGTTAAATGACTGATAGAATTTGATGTGAGTACACAAAACCAGACAGTATAAAATTGGTATCTCTCTAGCTGCCAGTGCATTTAACTCAGTTCTACAAGACATCATTCGCGTTAGGGATAGTTCAGTCGTAACGTCTCTGACTTCAGCAGTGGGTGATGCAGGCTTGAATCTCATAGAAGGCATACATTCTTTTGAGGCTGTAGTTACGTCTTGCTGACAAGTGCTGACAGGCATGAAACCCTGGTCGATCAGGGCTTTCTGTTGATTGTTGCTAGACAACTAACAGGAGGCCAGTAGTTTCGAACATTTATTGTTATGGTGTTGTCGCAGGTTACCAACGTGATGTTCTAACAAGTGAGATTCAATGTTCAGTTGCTAACAGAGTGTCCGTCTGACTATAATGACCCGTAAGGTTTTCCAAACCCCCATGTGAAACAATGATACCGGCTGTCCTTTCAATCTCATCACACCAAGTGACTGTAAATCAAAATACCTGAGGTAGGGTTAGTTAAGTAACCTAGAAACGGGTGCTTTGAATCCTGCTAAGATCTGAGTATTCCGCCCACTTTCAATTATCTCATTGCACCGCTAAATCAGACAAAGTTTTCTCAAACCCGAAAATATCCCTGTTTCCGACAGACACCTTTCCATAAATTAGTTGTGAATCTCATACATCTTCCGTCAAACATTTTCATCGGAGCGACAAGAGTCAGGGATGCTGACTAAAACAAACTTGTTTCATTATGGCACTTTTCTTCAGCTGCTGATAGTCTAAAAATGCACTCAGTTAGTGAGACTAGAGCATTCATTTCTCTTGGAATCATAAAACTTGCGAACTGGATGGATTTCCCATGAAGGCGGAACTGGTGGATGATAATACCATATTTATAGCGAGATAAAGGAGTAAAATGTCTACTTCTAAATAGTTCAGAAGAGAATTCCAGAGTTTTGACAAACAGTACGTCACAAAATACTTCTAATTTTTGGTTGCAACCGGAAAATGTATGAATTCTGTATGAGAAGAAACGTAAGAGAGATGGGTTGCTTCGAAATGAGTGGCTAAATAGGGATTTTGAAAAGGTCAGGTTATTAGGTCACGGTAAGGCAATATTGATCGTAGTCATCTTCGGAATTCAGAGGAAGGTTTGAATTGGCTTGACTGAGACTGATCCAGTAAAGCGAAGTAGGATTGTATTTCCTGGTTGATTGATTATTTTAATGGCAGTTGACATGCCCACATTGTGTTGTGAATACATTCAATGTTCAATTATTCCACTTGTAAATAATTCAGATCCCTTTATTCGATGACATTTTAGAATATGTTCCAAGTAGTGGATTAAAACTATCCTTCAGTCCTTCCAATATGCTTCCTTTGATACTTAGGTGTGAATTTATAATGAAGTCAGCGTCGACCGAAAAGTAGTTTGGAAACTGATTCAACACAACTACATGAAGACGCCACATAATGGGTAATTCACAATGGGAAGCTCAGTGATGCCTTTGAAGTGAACACAGGAGTAAGACGTGGCTGCCTACTATCACCCATGATATTCCTGATTGTGGTCGACTGGATCATAGTGAGGAACTAGGAGAAGAGGATACGCTAGAAAGTGGAAAAGATCCTAGAAGATTTGGATTTCACCGATGACTTGTGTCTAATGTCACACAAACTTGAAGATCTACAGGCAAAATCCAACAAGTTGACAGAACAGGCAGCGAAGATGTGACTTCAGGTGAATGTAGAGAAGACAGAGGTGATAAAGACACTTACCAAACAACAGCATCAACAACAAGCTGCAGTTACCATCAATGGGAGAAATCTTAAGGAAGTAGCCCCTTTCATCTATCTGGGCAGCATAGTTTCAACTACAAGCGGAGGCGGCACAGATGAGGACGTGGAATCCAGGGTCGACAAAACAAGAAAGGCGTTCATTAACCTGAAACCAGTATGGAGATCTCCTGCACTCAGCATAAAGCATGAACAACATCCAGATTTTCAACGCTAACGTCATTTCCAACAAATTACAGACATTCATCAACAACTGCCTACGCTGGCTCGATGCTGAAGCTGAAATGGCCAGAATAATAAGAATAAGCAACAAGGAACTCTGGCTCGACAACGAACCAACGAAGCAAGAACCTATCACTCAACAAATATGCAGAAGGATGTGGAGATGGATTGGGCATACACTGAGAGCACCATTCGGCGACATCACGCACCAGGTTAGGCACTCGAGTGGAACCCATATGGGAAACGACGAGTTAAGCGTCCGACGGTGACATGGAGGAGACCGTGTGAAGAAGAAATGAGAGCTTGTGGGCAGGTGTGGAGCCAGGTTCAAAAGATTGCAGAGAAGAGAGTGGAATGGAGACGTACTACTGAAGCCATATATTCCACTAGGAACTCAAATGACAAATAGTAATATAATAATTATAGATGAAGTCAGAGATAATACGAGACAGACATTTATCTCTTTTCTATTGAGAAAAAGAACACATAGTGTAACACACAGGAACGAGTTTTGTTCATGGATAAATTCTAGAAGTAGCAACTCTTAACCTTCTTGCTCACTCCCTTCGGAGCTAAATAAATGAAAAGTGGCTTCTTTTCAACCGTAGTGATATTCTTCTCATCTGTGTTTCGTCTGTCATACCTACTCATAAAGTTTTTCAGAGACCCTGTATCAAACAAATATTTTTCAAGAAGAGTCAACTCATTTTTAATTTATTCTCAGAGTACAGATTTTCGCTCTAACAAACCTTCTTTGTCAGTTCATTAGGCAGAAACTACTGTACTTTAAATACTGCTCAATCCAATTGTCCATGCGACTAGTATTTCTTTCGATCAATGCATTATCTCTCCTTATGCTTAACAGACCCAGAAAATCATAAGTGGTTTTTAAGTTTATATTCCATTGCAAAGCTGTCATCATGATACACTGTGTTAAAACTTTGAAATATGTTTGTAGCATGCTTCGTTTCTTCGCAAATCTCGAACATATTATCCATATATCACAAGTACAAAAAGATGATAACTTCATTCTATGTCTTCAAAATTTTATGCGTAACAATAATAATAAGAAGAATAAGAATAGTAGTATTGACTTCATTCTGAAAGATATTCCTGGGATTATTATCATTATTTATTATTTTTGCTCACCCTTGAACTGGTTTATCTTCTGCTTCATCATCTTCCTCTCCTCTATCAGCTTCCGTATGTCCATCGAGATACATTCCTTGTCTTGTCTTCTTTCTTCTTCCTTCCTAATAAGGCTGTGCAGGTTTCTTTCTACATAGCTTTCAGAGAGTTCCAGTGCTCATCCACACAGGTTTCTTTAGGGATGTTGGTCGATATCTCCCATTTTGTCTTGATGGCTGAGGTGAAGATGTTTCTTGTAGTTTCGTCCTTTAGTTTCCGTTCTGGGTTTTGAACTTGAACTGCGGTCTATCACCAGCTACCTTGAAGGGTTTTATCTTGATTTAGAAGGTTTCTTGCACCAGATAGTGGTGTGAGTGGTATGAACCTACATCTGCTCCTCTTCTTGATCTTGTGTCAAGTAGGCTGCGTCTCCACTTTCTTGAGGTTGAGATAAAGTCGATCTGATTTTTAGTGTGTCAGGTGTCTGGTGAAATCCATGTCGCTCGCTTTGTGGATATCCTTGTGCTTGAAC